TATACACATATATATACATACATTATATATATATATATATATATATTTATATATATTCGTTCATACATACATACACACATACACACACACATGTATATATATGTATTTATATATATATATATATATGCATAGATTATTTTTTTATAAATACCATTTTATGACGAAGAGACGAATTAGCATGCAACTTTATTCACGTTTATATCGCTAATAGTTGATATGCGGCGAAGAAGAGATGTTCGTGGTTGTAGCTTAGGGCAGATCCTGTAGCATGGTTACCCCATTTGAAATAAAGTGTCAGTGACCTCGTATGCTACGCTCAAAATAAAAATATATAGACAACAGCTTGCAAATGGGTTCACCGTACCAAAAAAATACTGATAGCTCTATATAGAGGTTAGTTGCCTCCTAAAACTTATTGCGGATCGTGATACGCGATCAAACTCTCTGACCACTTGTACTGTTTGAAAAGCTCAAAGTCCCTGTGACATAGAAACCGGTATAGAAAATAGACTGTGTTCAGTTTAATAAGTAAATTTCAACGCATACTAACGTGATCCGAATTTGAGTAACCCGACGACAATACTATGATCACTTTTTAATAGGCCGTTTTTCGTATGACATCGCAGATGCTATTCGTATGCATCACAAAAGCTGATAAAAACGTGAACTTGTGCTTGGCTTGTGGCCTTCAGATGTGACCGATTTATTGAAAACACGCTGCTGTGGCCTGTGAGCCGTGAGAACATGGGGGGTACAGACATAATTTAGTTGCAAAAGAAAAAAGAAAAAAAGACTGTAGGTCTCGCCGGGGCACTGGGGCAGGAGGCTATGCCACATACATACTGCACTAAAAATAGATCAGAATATTGAAATTTGTAGGTATTGAATATTAGTTGTATTGGGTCAATCAGCAGACAGTGCTTCACGCGGATCCATTTGTCTTTTTGATTTGAGAGATCCAAAAAAAATCTCGTGGCTCACATATTTCTCATAATATGTCCAGCCGTAGAATTTGCGAACCAGGTACTCACATACTCAGCGAAAAACAAACACACAGAGGTACGTAGCTGCGCAAGTACTTACACGTTTCTTAGTACGGAACGTGTGCGTGATTTATGAAAAATGTGCAGTTTCATAAGAAAGAGTTGGCGTGGCACAGATTAAATTTTGTCTTCACACGCATATGCCACTTAAGATATGAATTTTTGGCGTCATTAGCGCCTCAAGTTTGGACAATCGAGTGTTTCGATGTGGTTTCAGGATTCTCCAAAGCGTCGTTGGCATTCTTTATGAAATATCCATACTCGTCGATTGTGTAATGAATATTTAATAATTTGAATTCGTTCTTTTATTTAGCTATCGATAATGTTACGTCTCCGTTTTGTGTTACAATATATGTGCTTCGGCTCCTCGTTCAATCTAATATATATATATATATATATATATATATATATATATATATATATATATATATATATATATATATATATATATATATATATATATATATATATATATATATATATATATATATATATATATACTATA